AAATACAAGGAGAAAGAGATGAGAGAAAGAGAGACAGAGAAACTTGCAAGCAGTACTTACAGGGCCATCTGATTAGTGAAGAACAAGGAACAACCTGGTTTAGAAAAAAAACAAACAAACACTTTATTGTGATTTCTACAGAACCTAAAAGCATCAACAATTTTCGTGGTTTCGTGGATGTTTGTGGAGGTGAAGAATAACAAAGAAACGTGATGATATTTAGAATTATTAGCAATAGGATAACTTAAGTGTGTTTTTTTTAACAAACAGTGACGACATTAATGGGTTTGCAACAAAAAGTTCTGTTATGCGGAAGGAAAGCAATGGTGATGATGATGATAATGAGAGTAATGATAAGCAATATTAGAATCGGTACAATGATAACGATAAAATATAACAATGCTAACAACAAAAATGATAATATTAATATTGATAATGACAATATTGATGATTAACATTGTCATCACTGTTTTTTATAATAATAATAATTATTATTATTGTTGTTGGTGTTATTATTCTTATCATTATCATTATTATTATCATTATTATTATTATTATTATTATTATTATTATTATTATTATTATTATTATTATTATTATTATTATTATTATTATTATTACTATCATTATCCTCATCATCAATGATTATCATTATCATTATCATTATAATTATCATTATTGTTATTGTTATTATTATCGTTATCATTATCACTATTATTATCGTCATCATTATTATTAGCATTACTATTATTGTCATTACTATCATTACTATTATTATTATCATTATCATTATCATTAATATTATCATTATCATCATCATTATCAATATTGTCATTATTATGATTACTCTTATGATTAGTACTATTATCATTAACAATATTATTATTATCATCATAATAGATAACCATATAATCATTTTTACTCTTGACATTATTATTACTATTACTACTATAATAATAATAATAATAATAATAATAATAATAATAATAATAATAATAATAATAATAATAATGATAATAATAATAACAATAATAATAATAATAATAATAATAATAGTAATAACAATTAGTAGTAGTAGTAGTAGTAGTAGTAGTAGTACTAGTAGTATTATTATTATTATCATAAATATCAATATTATTATTATGATTATCATCATCATCATCATCCTCGTCGCGTAATTTTCATTGTAGATCACCATCATCATCATCACTATCATAAATTCACAGACATAAGCATTAAACGTAAAGAAAAAAAAAACAATAGTCTCGCTCAGCATTTCAAAAATAGCAATTTAATTCAATAAACCCAAAGTAATTAAAACACGAACTCGCGTGGCTGATTAAATGCACGATCATTCCATTTGAAAGCTGAATAAAAATAAGAATGAAAGTAAAATACAAAAAAGGAAGGAAAATAACCCGTGCAAGTTGAGGGAACGAAAGGTCAATGCATTACATAACCAGTGAATCATTTGCAACCGTGCAACTAGGATGCACACGTATGCATCTGTCTAGTGCGCAATGCAAGTCACCAGTGGGCATCTCTCTGCAACCGGTGCGTGGCAAATGCATGTTCTTTTGGCCCAGATCCTAGAACTTTCTCCTTGCCCGACGGCTTGGCCCGGGCGCTGTGACAGAGCGGGGGGCAGCGCTCCCCAAACCCCTTGAATTGCGGTCTCCCGCTCTCCCTCTTTCTCTCCCTCTCTCCCTCTCTCCCTCTTTCTCTCCCTCTCTCCCTCTCTCTCTTTTGGGCCGTCTCGAGGGACAGTCCTAAAACCTGGGTCGTGTGAGGTTGCGAGGAGGTGGGGCAGCGGAGTCACAGTGAACACACCACACACGCGAGCTGCCAGCCACGCCATCCACGTGACGGCGCGGCGCTCGCTCACGTCACCGTCACAGCCATGACGTCACCACAAGTACCCGTGACGTCAGAACGGTCACGATTGGGGGGGCGGGGTTCTCGTACGCTCTTTAGAAGTTGGAGGCACCAAATAATGCGGACATATTCATTTTTTATGAAAGGACACTTAGGTAATTACTAAAGTCTATCAGAAAGGCGGCCGGAGAATGCGGATGCGTGGGTGGGTTCACGCAATTTCGAAATTGAGTTCGAGTGGAGATTCTCATAAATGTTACAGACAGATCTTCTGCAAGAGATTCCACTTCAGAATGAAAAAAATAGACCTCTCCTGCGGTCTGTGATTTTTTCTAGCGCGTGGTCTAGTTTTCTGACCAGCTAGCAAAGTTACATGACAAGTTTTCGACAGACTTTTTTGTTTTCCTCACGTAAGAATTACTAATTCAAGTCTGACGAGATACGAGACTGGCAAAAAAAAAAAAAAACTATCTCGAGGAAAACAAACAACAATAACGCGCAATTGAATGGAGGGCCTGACGTCATCACAGCCGACGGTATTTATGACGTCATCGGAGGTGGTGGTGTTATGACGTCATCGGTGGTGGTAGTGTGACGTCATCGGCGGTGATGGTGGAAGGGGAGG